AGAAATTAATTTGTTAAGAAATAAATAAAAAATACTTGCTACAAATTTCGATGTGGGAGCAATAATTTATAAAATTTGAAATGTATTGCTGACCTGTTTTAAAGTTTATTAATAAGATGTTAAGAAAGTGTCTGTTACATGTGCTGAGCGATTTAAATTATTGCCGTTTTCTTGACACGTCAGTTCACGATTTATTTTAAATAATTAGTTTTCAGATTTTGAAACATCAAGTTGCTTTAACACTAATCGTACCCCAAGTGTTGTTTCTTCAATCCATTTTATTTACAAGAGAGAGACAAACTATTACAAACATTAATTTAAGTCGTCTCGACGACTCCACGCTTTTTGTATACATTTCTTAATAATTTGTAATATTTATCTAATAATAATTTTGAAAATTACTTATATCTTCATTAAGCTTCAGAAATGCATCACATTTTCAAATAAGTATGTTCCCCATCTTTAAGGGAAATTTGTGATGGACAAGTTAGAAGTTACGCGATGGGCCCACAGCTTGTGTCCATCTCTAACACACAAACAAGTATATTCGGATTTACATTTATTTAAATACAGTTTTAAATTTCTGGCGCTTTGGCTATTTTTCGCTGTGTCAGAACAAAAGAAAAAAGGGGGCAGAAGTTTGAGAAGCCGCAAGAATAAATAAATAAATGATATTAAAGAAATCGCGAGGCATGCAAACGAAAACACCATAACAGTATCGGGAACAATAACAGCAACAACAATAAATTGCTTATGTGACAGATTTATTTCTTTCTCCTTCTTGCTCTTCTTCTTGCTCTTCTTCTTAAATTTCTTTATCTTTTATTTAAATTTTGACAAAACGTGTTTATTTGTTATTCGTTTTGCTGTTTTTGTTCTTTAAGTTGAGTTACAACAAATACATTATATTGCAATTAAGAGTCGGACTGAAATGTGCATTAATGGATTTTGTTGTTTGTTTAGTTTTTTGACAAACCTGCTCTCAACTAAACGACAGCTTACACATGTCACTGGATCCAAGGAGGAGGGGGCTGGGGCAGCGGTCAGAACTTAAAACCGCCTTATACATACGAGCACATATGTACACACATACATACATACCGACTCGTCGCCATTGACCGCAAAACGGACGAGCACAGCCAACAAATACAAATAAACCAAACATTTACAATATTTTGCTATTTTTCTAATGCAGTAAAAAAGTAGAAATAAGCGCGCAGTGACTGCTAAATAAATATGTTGCTGAGCAGGTGTCATAACTTACATGAATTTACACTTAAAAATGGTAAAAGGTATTTCTGTACAAATTGTTTGCAATAAAAATGCAAACAAACACTAAACTACGGCTCTGTCCAACTTACAGCGCAAACATCGAAGTCTTTGAATAGCAATCATATGGTTTGTTCTAAACTTGGTCATACTTGTACTTCTCATCGTTGAGTTTGTCACATCGCACATTCAATTTATTTTGTATAATTTAGTTGGAAATCAAATTTGATCATATATCTTATTAGCTAGATCGTATTTTATGCAATAAACTAGAAAAAATGACTATCTTCCATACATCTTCAATCAGAGTTGTTCTAACTCTCTGGACTGGCAATCATGTTTTCCCCCAACGGGTTGGAGATTTTCCTTTACTTGCTTTACTAGATAGCCCTTAAGTAGAATTAAGTTTTCTCCTTCTCCTACTGTCTATTTTTTGTAAATATTATTATTTTTTTTTAGTTTTTTAGGTCTATACTGTTTCTGGAAACATACTATATGGCTGTGAATCGGGGCATAGCTGGCCAAATGGCAAATAAAACTCCCGCAATGTGTTGGGGGCATTAATAATAACTATTAATTGATTAGTTATTTTTGAGGCTTTCTTATTTTTTAAAGTTTAAATTATAAATTAATTATCTGTATCGACAGCATTATTTGTTGATCTATTAAATAAAAAAATAAAATATGATCTAAATACTACATGCAACTCAGCTCGTATTATTACGAATATGACTTTGAAAACAAATTTTCAAAATGTACGGCAGTTATTATAAGATATTTCTGGCGCATGGGCAGGGGCTGTATGTAAAACAAATTTGTCTGGATTTGGGGTTATTTTCGCTCTTACATTATTATATTATGTTATATAGATAGACAGACATGGCTAAATCAACTCATCTTATATTGATTTGGAATGTATGCACGAATATATGGTTTGTGGGGTCTCCATTAAGGTCTTGTAAATGCTCGCAAAAAATACCGTTTTACTCTTTGGATATAGTGTATAAAAATATTAATGTTTATGTAGATCTGGGCGTTCATGCGTAGTAGAAACAGACCGTCAGGCAGAACTAAATAAATGCATTCTTCTCATTGTTGTGCTTAACAATTCTTATAAATATGGCTTCGATGTTATGGGTATTCTAAGAAAGATCAGTTTTGTCAGAGACACTTCAACTATCCATTGTTCTTCCAACATACATATATGACACACAAGTCAATTGCTTCTATGTGTTGAGCGTGTCTGAAACTTATTTTGAGTTTTTAACGATTAACATTCAGCTTACATCAGTTTGTGGAAACTTCTGAGTAACTTATTTATATATGTACACATAAATCTGTCAACGATCACGATCTTTACAATCTGAGGCACGACACGTGCTTTTGTCTGATGGAGTTTCAAATAAATTAAAAAAACAATTGCAAAACAAATTGAGTTGCGAAGAAAAAATGCTCAATGCGTAATCATACTTTATACATACATTTTAATTACATTTAACATTTGCGATAGCTTAAGTCTTAGTGTTAAGCTACAAATTGTGCAGCCTACGCTCAGCTTGTCTCAAGTCAGAACAGACAGGGGCCCGAGCCGAGACATGTCATTATGGACTGTCTGAGCTGAAATCAAATTGAGCTGTGGCTTAAAAGAATTGGGTTAACTGCCATTCTGCCTTCGACATTTTGATTGCTATACGCTTAAAGCACGATTATCACAGTACAAACAGAGAGCCACACCCACATGTCCAGGTAACTGGGTGAAAGGCACAACTTGTCTTTCGGCTTCGAAACCAGTTAAATCAGTTCAAATTATAAAATGAAGATAAAAAATGTGCGTGTTCATTTTTAAATAAAGCCCCCAAATTATATTTAAAGGTTAACAAGCAATGCTTTTGTACAATATATTCATTATTATCGCATAACTTGATATTAATTTATTCCGCATCATTGCGTTCAAATCTTCTAAGTATCGCCATTAATTGCCGTTTAATTGATTGCACAGGTTGATCCGCTGATTAACCGGGAAAAAAGCCTTAAAGGAAAGATGTTATGATTTATTTTAGAACCAACAAGAAGCTCTTCATTGTAGCTTCACTTTTAACAAATACTTGTATGTTATTTTTTAATGGCTATGGGCTACAAACTGTGTACATAGTATGTATCCTACTATGTCCTATCAATCTGTCCATTAACTAGTCGCCAATAAAAAGCATGCATACATTACAAAAGCACTATAATATTCTTTTTATGATAGCGATATGAAAGGCAGATCGGACTAATTATCTGTGTCCGCCCAAAAGCAGCCTCCAAACAGCTTTAAAGCTGTAGGGAAGGTGTTATATTTAACAGCGAAGAGCTTGGATGAAATGATTATTTAAATAAAATTGTAATGGAAGTTTAATCTAGTTCAATTCTCTATATAGGTGACAAGCTCTTTTTTATATATCATAGGCAAATTTGATATTTAAAGGTATTTTAAAGTGCCTCGCAATATTCTGAAATATGATCACATTCGCTTCACCATATCATTGTTTAAGCTTTTTTATTTAGTTGAAGAACTGTGGCCCGTCCGTAGAAGGTACATTAATGCTCTACACATTATAACACACACATATAAATAATAAACATTTATGTTGTTTTTGTAACCATTTGTTTAATTACTTTGACTTTCAAAAATAAGTTAGCTATGGACACATTGGTAAAAGCTTTTCATTAATTGCTAGTTATCAAGCATTCATAATTTATTCTCTTTATTCGTTTATAGCAATAACAGTAATGCTTTGTCTTCTTTCGTCTCATGTGTGAACAAATATACGAATTGAAGCTATTGCCAGGGTCACCAAAAGCCACGATAAAAACGCGACACACACCCATCTCCAATTATAGCACCATATACTTGATATGCCGAAGACAGACAAGCCACAGACATCGCTTTGGTCGGATTGACTTGGGATTTGACAGATATAGGTTAACAGATAGGCTACAGAACTCGATAGCAGTAATCTCCAAGTGCGACATAAGCCACACCCACATGCATCTGCGTTGGGGATCCCCTGTAGTTGGAATTTTAAATTTTTTACGGCCTCTACGGGGCAATTTTATTTTTTTTTAAATTTTTTTTATACCATGTATCTAAAGGGTAAAAGGGTATACTAGTTTCGTGCGAATGTATGTAACACACATTCATATTGTTGATCAGCATGAGAAGACGAGTAGATATGACCATGTCCGTCTGTCCGTCCGTCTGTCTGTCTGTATGATCGCAGGGATTTCAGCAAGTACAAGAGCTGGAATAACCAAACTTGGTATTCAGGTTCTCCTAAGCAGATCAAGTTTGTTTATTTTTTCTGAAACACCCCTCCCCCCCACTTCCCCGCAATTCCTGTTTTTTCCATAACTCCTGGTACTTTTGTAATTTTGTACTCAAATTTGGCAAATACCTCCAGATTATGATTATGTGTCTGTATGCCGTTTCATCATGATAGGTGAATTATGAAGAAAGTTATAGCCATAAACATAATCTCTGCCGAAGCTCTGCCTGCAGCTCTGCCGGCAGCTGTTGTTCTTAGACATAGACACGATTCTGATGTAAATTGTTCACAAACACTTATGTGTGTATGCATGTGTTGAATATTTTATGTATGATTAAATTAATTAAATTTTTTTAACTAATTATTTTTTGTTTGGGTGGGGGGGGGGGTGCGGTGTACAGGGTATTTAAGAGTTCAGCCCGCTCGACTTTAGCATTCCCTTCTGGTTTTTGATTGGAACCAAGTTTATGCCGCTCTCAAGTATTTAAAAAAAAACTTGACTTAAAAATTAAGGTATTATAACTGGGAAGACTTAGAACCTAAATAATACATGTAACAATATATAGTAAATATAAATTATTTCGGGTTAGACTGCCTGTGCACCGCCTGTAGCAGCTGTAGGGCGTTGATGCAAAAGAGGTGCATCGATGGTGTCCAGCTTTGGGTAGCTGGTTATGCCATCATCATCATCGTGCTCTCGCTTACGCGCCCAGTTAGCGTTAATGATGTTGTCGTCCGATGGATCTGGAAACTCGCTGGCCAAATGATAGATGATCTTCTTAAACATGAACTCAGAGAGATTACTGCGCAGGAAGAATAGGAACATCCAGTTGGAGAAATTGCACTTCTCTATGACAGCTGACAGTTCTTTATCATCGAGGCGGCCCGGCTTGGCCCAGTACAGGGACCACTTGCTGAAGAACAAGCTGAAAGGAAGCAATTTTAAGGGTGAGTTAATTTCAGGTAAATCCTCATTTAACTATCTATTTGCTATATGTATTGTATTCCCAACTGCCTTTGTTCTATATATTTATAAACTTATTTATATGCGATCTACAGACTGATCTGAGAGCATCTTCTACATATTCTAGATGTGTATGCATCTTCCTTCCATGTTACTAATTTTCCATATTATTACTATTACTGAAATGCTACCAAATGCTCAAGATATGTTCGTTTCCGAAAGCTGAATAAAATAAAATTATAAAAGTAAAGTATTAAATGCACTTGAAAATTGAAAACTCTTTAAGAGAATGCACACATCATGGAATATAAAAAGAAAGAAAGACTAGCTCATATTTGCCTTAAATAAAGTCATAAAGTACTTACTTTTTGTACATAAACAACGTAAGGACACGCCAGATCAGACCCAGAATGGTGAGGCAGAGGAGAACGGCATACCAGAACCAGAGAATCGTATAGATCTTCTCATTCATAATATTGAGAGCCATGACGCAGAGTGTATCGTGCTCCTGCAGGGAGCCTCCCGAACCGTACTTAAAAAACGTGCACTTCGTCATTTTGGGGAAGACAATGTCCAGAATGTCCACTTTGTCCACCCAACGTTCTCGAAGCACTTTGGGACCCAGCGAGATGAACTGATTGCCGAGGAAACTATTCGTCCAGTAGATTTGCAGCAGCAGATTACATAAATTAAGCGTCTCGCAGAAGACAAGATGTGCACCCCACGATTGATTCAGGCGCATGCGATCGATCATTGTGCGACGAATGTCCCTAACGCGCTGCTCTACAAATCCGATTGAGGGCAGATTGAGATTATCAACATCCAGACTCTTGCCCTTTAGGTACTTAGCCAGGCCGACCATGCGCAAGCCGAATACCAGAGCCTTTATGCGTCCCCCCTCCCATTTCTTCCACAGAGCGTGCGGGATGTAGAAGCAGATGGCTTGGGCAAACAGCACGAATGGGACCCACTGATAGTAGGCATGGCGTTTAATGGTATCCGTTTCCCTGTCATAGGGTCGAATGCCTTGCTGAGAGAGGAGACTCTTGTTGGGCGCCGTACCATTACCGACCTGCCGACGAAAACAACTTTGTAGTCTTGTAGTATTGTAGTCTCTTGGCTCTCCTGCCTCCTGACCAACTACTTACCACTGTGAAGGTTGGGGTGAAAAAACAGAAGGTGTTGATCACGGGGGCAACCACGGCGTCCGATATGCATTGGATATGTTCACCGATATATTGGCGCGAGGTTATGAGCAAAGTGGCTGCCAGCAATATGACAAAGCTTAGACGATAATGAAGTTTGAACACAAAGTTGTCGATGATCACGCGATGGATATCGATCTTAATATACTGAGAAATCGAGCTAAATGTCTTCAGCATTTTGCGATCTTAGCTCGAACAACCAAGTAATGGTACAAAAAATTCGTAGTGCTCCGCACCGTTTCGTTTATTGATCCACAAAACACACAAGTAGTCTACTAAATGCGAAACGGGTCACTCACCAACTTGTGGTTCGTAGCCCACTTTTGAAATGCGATAAGATGTCTTACGCTCTGGCGGTTTAAAGACTCTTTAAATTATGTGATAAGATAATATGAACTGAACCTGCATTAAATTGAGGTAATTGTAAAAGTTTAATAATTGGTGCGACAGAAAGAGCGAGAGAGAGATTGATGTAGAGAGCGATTTAGAGAGAGCGAGATGCTTACCTCCTTGGATAATGCAGGACTTAAGTTTACGAATAAGTCCGTAGATCCTGCTATAAATTTATTCGCATTTTCTTCTACAGCTTTGCTTGCAGAACCTCCAAATCCAACTGTGCACCAAATTCAAATGGCAAGCTGTCAAAGGCATTTTGTTTACATCGAGCACTGCAATGAATTTCTCGTGGGGAATCGGATTCCGTTTCATCATATCAGCAGAAGAGCTGCCAGTAACAGTTTACAAAAACAAAATCGGACAAGAGAGTCCGCTTGAAGTTTGAATAAATTTGTATATATTTATGTGTTGGCGCCAAATTATACAAATAAACTGAGCATTAATTGAACTTACTTGTATACGAGTGTGTACATACTTATGCGCATATTTATAAGTACATATATAACCCATTATTGCGTAATACTCTTAGTCATTCTTGGCACTGAGCCTGCCTTAAACAAGTTGATGTTTTGTTTGTGCCCGTGAACTCGCACAATTCTTCGGTTTTATTTGGGGCTAACCAAAAAGGCTCTGAAGACGATACATATAACGATAATATAAGCCGATAATATAATTCTGTATAAATTAAATTATTCGTTTAACGACTATTCCAAAACTATTCAAATGCCATAAAGTGTTATCGCTTTCAATAGGGTAAGACTAGTGTTATATAAATATTTATGAAATGACAAAGCTCGCAGTGCAGAAATATTTGTTAAATGTTTTATTTCACTTCATTCGCCATTACAATAATATTTAATGCCAAAATAAAACAGCAAGGTGTGTATAATTCGAAAATTAACCAACTTTATTGTTGATTGTATTCAATATTTTTCGGAAATTATCGTAATAAATATAAATACAACAACAAATGGTTAGGAAACTCTCTTGCAAATTAAATTATCACATAAAGATCTCATTAATGCTTTATTCCACTCCATTCGCCTTTAAACTAATATTTAATGCCTAAAGAAAACAGCAATGTGTGTATAATCTAAAAAAACCGACTTTATTGTGTATTCAACATCATTTGGAAATGATCTTAAAACAAGAAGAAATGGTTAGAAAACTCTCTTGCAAATTAAATTTTCACATAAAGATCTCATTTATTATGATATGGAAGACATTTTAGAATTTATTTCGTACTCTGTTGACTACAGACGTTCACTATCTTTAGTATGAAAATATTAGTAACATTATAATATTAGTAATATTGACTAGCACCACATGCAATTTATTTTCTTATTTTTCCAATTTTTTTTTTAGGAAATTTCTGTTCCAATAATTACTATTGCTTTGATATTAGGCCTACAGCACTAATGTTTGTTTATTTTCAAGCAACGACAACAATGTTACTTGAAAAATGTAATTGAAATTGCAACTTAAAAGTATAAAATAATTAAAAGAAAAGTGTCTTATGCTGCGCTTAAACGTAAAACTTTTTAATAAAAAATAAAATGCATTTTTAGTAAGAACTAAAAGCAAAGATCTATCAGCAAAGAAAATCTTAAGCACTTTATTAATTATATTAAAATAGTACATTTAAGAAGAAAAAAAATAATATTTGCAAGTTAGTTGTACATTCCGTTTCTATAATAAAAGTATATAAATATCTGATTGCCTTTTTAGTGATATAATTAGAAATATTTCTTAGATAAAATAAAATAAAGTAGTATACAAAAAGAATGAAATAAAGCTAGGCGGTAATTGTTATAAGCTGAGCTTTTTCAGGTAGGCTTAAGACTCTTTTGTGTATTTGGAAGAGTTCACTTTCAAATCGGTCGGAATCAAAACTTAAGTTTTATTCTGGAAGTATTAATTCGTCTGTGATCAGTTGAAAATGTGTCTAGAGTGGAAGCCATACACACGAATAGGTATATGCATTGAGAGATAATACTGTCACTTATCAGTTCAGCTATCAGTGTATGGATCTGGAGTGTTTACTTAGAACAGCGATCAGTATGCCTTGCTGTGCGTGAGAGACTGACAACCTTTATGTATTCTCTGTCCAGGCAGTATAAAAAATGGGCTCAATTTTTTGAGTTTCTGTTTCGGATTTCGTGGCGCCTACTGATAAGCTATGCAACGAATAAACATATTAGCCTAGATCAGTCCCGACAGCTCCTATGCGGATGGAAGTTGACGGATTGCATGGTTGGTCTAGACTTTTGCGTCATACTCGTACTGCGATAATCAGTGGACATCCTGAAGCGTCAGACTCTGAGTCAGCGCTATTCAATTAGAGAATGTACAAAGTCAGCCGGTGACTTGATAAAATAATGACAATTTTGGCAACAACTCATCGACGAAATATCAACGAACGTAATGTTCTTCACTCGAAGTGCTGTAAATGTTATCAGCACCTGTTGGAAATTACTCGTTTCGTTTGTATGCATTAGATGAGTTGTTGAGACTAGTTCGGATTCGCAAACATGAACAATGTATGCATATACTTGTATATACATATATAAATAATTAGATTCCTCTGGGCCTGGCCCACTTGGCACATACTCGTGCACGATTTATTGCTGTTGTTTGTCTTTTAAAAGGCAAATAGAGCGTCATAGCGGTGCGCTGATTAAAATCATCATCTATCTGCCTATCTAAATAACCAGCCTTAGAAGGTTCTTTTTCCAGCTTATTACCGTAAAGCACTTAAGAGCCGCGACTCCGGATAAGATTTCACATACAAGTATACGATGACAAAATAACTTGCTTTATAAAACTCATTGTTTGCGTTCACATTCAACAAATGTTTAGTAATTTTGTATATTTTTAGTGAGTTGACTAGTTGACTGTAATTTCCTAGATTTTGTTTATGATAGGGCTCTTATACCCGTACTGTACGATGAGTGCGTACATATCTAAGTACGAGTATATATACTTACTTACATACATGTAGTTCTTGGGCAATGACAAGCTGGCAAGCTCTGCCAGATTAGTTGACAAAGGTTCATTGATTGAAATTCGATTTGTGTTCGGCTGTCGTTGTTCGTTGTTGTGATTTTTTTGTTTCGTTGCCTCATTGGCACATCGAGAACGCCTCAATAAACAAATGGCCTGCATATTGTATTACACATATAAAATACACACACGCAAAGCTCGAATAGTACTATAAGCAAAAAATTTAAATACAACAAGAAAAACCGCAAAGAAATCGAAATTGAAACCAGACACGCAAGGCGCCTGCAAATATTTTAAAGTTGCACTCAGATACAATTACGAGTGCGAAAGCGTCAGTAGAATATCATTTGTGTTGCAATGGTGAAAGGGCAGGTATTCGTGATCCACTGATCCGCAATTGGTGCAATATTAATTGAAACTTATGAAACGCAATCATCTAAGTGTGTTTACATAAATGCTGATCAGTACACATACAAGTACATACATACTCGTAAATATTCGTACACTTAAGGCATTCACGACTTTTTTTTTCTTCGAATAAACGAGTGGACAGGCTGTTAAAAAACAGAACATTATCGTTAAGCCATTAGGCATGTCAGACACATTCCCACGAGATGATGATTCATTCATAGAAACAGTTGGTGAACTGAATCTAGATAGTATTCTAGACATTTTTTAAATACTCTCAGCTTCTGCAGAACTACACTTTGCAAAAATGAAGGTTTTTCGTTGTAAGGTAGAAAATAAAATCCTTTATTTTAGTCCGTTTTATTAAGTATGCAAACAAAACAGGACTATCGTGGATGCGATGCAGGCTTAGCTGGGTTTTTTTTTGTAAATTTAAATATATTTTTTCAGGTTTGGAACTTTTTCCTTATTATATTATTTCAAAAATCGCTAAATCCAATTACTTGACACATACGTTTAAATGCAAAAAAAAAAAAACAATTTTTAAAAATTAAGCCCAAGCGTAGTCGGAGTGGAATTTTTGGTATTTTAATTTTCTGAGTGTACGGTATGAATTCTTTCCATATTTCTGTGAAACATTTTGAAAAGCTTAAAACATAGAAATTCATAAAATAGCGAAGTCATTTGATAAAAATTCACAGTTGCCTATAATGTCAGATTCAAACTACATATGTACATATATGCTGTTCTTAAAAAAATTTTTAAGCTTAGATACTAGACCTCTAATTTTTTTTGGAATTATAAAATAATTGAATTAAAAATAGATACTTTGCCAAAATAATTTCAAATGTTAAGGCTGAAACCAAGCCTAATCGGTCTAGAACTTCTGGTTCTACTATTACACATTTCTGCCCAACATTCGTAAATTCTTGGTAAGGTATTTTGTTTTAAAAGCCAGAGTTCTGCGATGATTTGATTTAGAAAACACAATTAGGTAAAATACTTTAAAATATTAAATACGAAATGTTATATCGTATTATTTCAAGTGCGCAGTGGGAGTACCAGTGGGAAGTACCAGTGGGATCTTACAATCTTCAGAAAGTATTTATATTCGTAGTATAAGAGAAGTTTTGAACTAAATGGTCCAAAACAGAACATTTTCAACTGGTAGAATTCTATTTAAAATTCGACAAACCATTTTCTGAACGATTACTATAACATATGTATATATATTAAACTAGAGCGCGGTAAAAACTGCTCCAGTACATGAAGGCAATACGATTGAAAAACATAACTATCTCAGAATATAAATCATATATGAAGTTCTTTCTAGACATGGCGTGAATGTTTTTTTTTTTGTTATTCTTAAAGTCCTGGGAGTCCATATTGTAAGATATAAGATTTAATTTAAATGAA